AATTAAATGTAGTAAAAATAGAAGTAGAATTAATAATCGATCCCACATAAATTAAAAAACTTCATGATTTATTCGTGCTTTGTTTTATCTTTGCACCTAGTAATAGATTGAACAATATTTAAATAAATGTGGGGATTGTAGATGAAGAGAAATAAATAAAACAGAAGCAAGAAAATAATTTTTTTAAAGAAATTAAAAAGAAAGAAAAATTAAAAGAAGTAGATTCAATTTGTAAAAATCAACCCTTAGACTTTCGCTTTGACTCAGTTTCCTTGGATCATCGAAAAAGATTTTTATTTTGGGATTCACGTCGATTACCTTGTCTACAAGGTCAATCATCGTGTCGTGAAGACCGACTCAGATTGTTGTTTCAATAACTACTAATTCCGATCTCAATTCCCTCTTAGCAATCAATTTGCTAAGTGTGTTATCAGGAAGTCGAATGTGCTTTCAATAAGTCAATTCTTCCTCTCACACATTTAAGCACAACAATACCATGACCAAAGTCAATCTTTGATTTTGAAATTACTTTGATTTTGAAAATAAGCACACAAAAATTGAGAGAGATTTCCGAAGTTATTTGAGTGCTTTTCAATTCCCACTTTGGAATTGAGTCATCACTTATCCCTCGGCTTAAAAGAAAGTTAAAGAAAACGAAAATAGAAGAAAAGAAATATTTTTTATTAAACTAAAGAAAAAAAGAAATCAAATCATATGAGATATGATTGAATGATGAATTATGCTTACCCTTAGAGGATATTTATAGCCTTCTGAAATCTTAGAAACACTAACAATAATCCTAAGAAAATATAAAATATATATCCCAAAAAGATAATTACTAAACTTGAATTTAAAATACTTGAAATACTCCAGATGTACATCCATCTTCTAGAATCGATGACTGAATGCTGATTAGATTTTGATTGGATATTCTAGAAGCTGATGACTCACTGCCACATCAGCATTTCATACCCACTGTTCCAGCCTTGATTCCAGAACAGAAAGTGCAGTTTTCAGGTCTTTTAATCACATTTATTATGATGACTTAAAACTTTGTTATTATTATAATTGAGGATGGGGCAACATTCAAAGCTGTAGAAAAGAGATTGTGGAATGTCAATACCAATTAACTATTACAACAATGAAACTAATATTTTTACTATTGGCCTGGAAAGAGGAATATGAAGCAGTCACTCATTTTCCAATGATACGTAAAACTTTCTAATATTAAAACTAAACGAATATTATTTTATAATAATCTTAATTTAATAAAAAAATCTAAATAAAACACCAACCCTAATCCTATAACTCAGTCATTTATGGTTTTTCTCATCATAATTGTTTGATAATCCTAATTAATTAGTTCGTTCAACAACAACCACATACGTGTAATTTTGACTAAGCCAAAATTAATAAAATTGAGTGTAATATTTATGTCTAGGAAATAAGCTTACTTCCATAAGCTAAATTCATGAGTCATAATTATATTTATGTTTTCAACGATGTCTTAATTATTTTCATAAGATTGAGGATTTCAGTATTCGAATATTCTATGTTATGCTATGTTTGATGATTATATTGCGCCTTATGTTTTATACCAATTTATTTCAGTTATTAAAAGAATTATTTTTGTTTCTAGAGGTCACGGGTTTGAGTACCATTGACTGCAGCAAAGTGATTAAGTGTTCATTGTCAAATGATTAAAATTATTTACAACAAAATAGTAAGTGCAAGTTTTCTCTTAAATTTATTTTGAATAAGCTTCTCTGTATATGATTTGAATATATTTTATTTTTAAATTTGACGGTATTTTATATTAATTTAATTTTATATAAGTACAAGGCAGTATCTATTCAAAGATAACTCTCAATCATTCGACGTTGAACGCTCACATCCTGACATTTCTGATGCTCGAACCCGAGATTTCAAGGAATAAAAAAAATCCTTTACCACTGAGGCCGCTCGATTCATGTCAAAAAGTATATATATGTATGTACATTTATATAAAAATATAACCGTAAAAAGGTACTTTAAAATGAAAAAAACACTTATAATAATTTTTAAATTATCATTGTGGATGATTTTCATAATGTTTTGTGGTCATGGGTTTTTTCTTCTTCTTATGACTAATATATGTTTAATTTGTAAGTAAAAATAATAATTTTATTAATAAAATTATTTCACTAAATATTTTTATTTTTAATGGTGAAATTAAAGTTGCATGATTATTTGGATGTAATTGTATAAGGGACAATTTGACTTAGTTTTTGAAAAGTGATTTTTAAAAGTACTATAGAAACGAACTTTTAAAAGTGAAGTGCAAAAGTACAATTTAAAATTTAACTGTTTGAGGTTTTTGTTAAAAAACGAGTTTGAAAAGATAAAATATATATTATAGTCATTATGTTGTAAATTAAAAATATAATATTTAAATTATATTTACACTAGTTAATACTGTGATATAAAAAAAATATCCACTTAAACTAATAAAAATAAAAATAAAACATATTTTAAGATAACTCATTAATAATATTTTTATATATAAAATATTTTATTAAGAAAAAATATTATCAATATTTTTTAACATGTGGACATAAAATTATTATGAAATAATAATTTAAATACTTATTTTGACAAAAAGAATATTACAAAAAAATTAGTAATTGAAATAAATTATTTTTAAGGACGTTAGAATTAAATTATTAAAATAAAATGTAAATACATAGTTGAGTGGAACCTATGCATTAGTAAGGGTAAAATAATAATTTGTTTACAAAAGTAAAATTGAAACAGAAAAAGCTAGAATCCTAGCTTTTGCAGTTGGTTTAAAATCACCGTTTTCATCATAATTTTATTTTTATTTTTTACTAGTTTGACATTGATTTTACGGTCGAAACGAGATTTTTGGCTATAGCCAATCTAGTCATCATCTATTATATACCATAAATTATCCTCTAATTATTATCATCTGTTATTATCCACAGAATACAATTTATGTGACAAATACCCTTTTCTCCTCATTTTCTTAATTGTAAAAACCTTTTAAGTATGAAAAGGATCATCTAATTATAGATGTATTTTTATTTTTATAAAATCATAATTATTATATTTTATCTTTTATATATGTTTTATAGTTCATATTTAAAATTTATTATTATCCCATCTCAATAATATTATCTTTAATTTTTCAATTTTTCTTGAAATTTAATATATCTTACTACTAGATTTGACATTATTATATATCCCTTTAAAAGTTTAATTTAGATTTAATTTTCTGAAAATTTAAAAGTTTATAATAATTAAGCTTGTACACTTGAAATTTGAAAATATAATTTTCAACATAAAATAATTATCACTTTAATTATTGATTGAACTAACCTGAATGGATAATCAAATAATATTATCTAATAATATCGATAAGTTCATCGTTAGTGGACCTCACGTCAAAGGCAAGCCATCAGCATCGGCCCCACTGGTTTTTGGTTAGAATCCATCCAAACAAATTTCTTACGTCATCGAAATTTGATAATTCAATAATTGATATTTATAGACATTATTTTATAAAAATAATTGCTTTTATATGAGTTTTAATTTAAAACTCTCTTAATCATATCTTTAAATATCACTTTAATCCATGCTTAGTTATTTGTTCAGATGATTTTACTTGATGGAAATATCAGATCAATTAATTATTACTCCAAATCACTGAAAAGTGAATAAATAATTGAATATATGTTAAATTAATCATGCCAGCCTGACCCTTGGATCTTTTTGGCTTGCATTTTTTTGTTGCAATTATTTTTATTTTTTATAGTATAGGGTAAGTATAAGGTGATATAGTTAAAAAATAACTTTCAATTAATTGACATTGAACGCTCAAACTCCTTATATTTCTGGTGCTCAACTCGAAACCTAAAAAAATATAGTAGTACTGAATTTGAATATTCCATTTATAACTTTTCTTTTTTTTTTCCTCCTTTTTTGAAAGAATAACTTTACTTTTGTAGTCACTCAATTACTTTAATAGTTACATTTTGATTATCTAATTATGTTTTCTTCAAAATTACACCTAAAATTATATTTTGATCACTCTCCATTAAAAATTAACGATAATACTAAATTATGATAATAAGGTAATTCCACGTTATCTATGAAAAAATTATCAAGTCGACAATTCTATTAGTTTTTTAACGGTTGGTTTGCAAAACTGAATTATATTATAACGTTTTACTAAGTTAATGAAAAATTGAAACTATATCCTTTTGTAATGAATAAGGTAATTTTTTTTTCTTGATTAAGTCTTATCTTTATTAAAATCAAATTTTAAGAGAGATTAAATTATTTAGCTTAAAAATAAAAAAAATATTAAATATTTAAAATCAAATCTAAAGATAAAAATAATTTTATTTAATATTTAATCTTATAAGAACTAAATTATTATTAAATTAAAAAACATGGGCTCAGGGTCTAACTACTTATGCTTTGTTAGTCACTAGGTTTGAAGGTTTAGGATGATTATGGGGCATACACAAACACATGAATTTATGTTAGGGGTAAATTATTACAATTTTGAGAACGAACAAATTTATAAAATTTTAGGGACGAAAACATATTTTTAATATAAAATATATAGAAAAAAATTTAAAATATATAATAATTTAAAATTTTCAGAGAAGAGACTGTTAACACCTTACCTCTGGATCCACATGATAATGGGTTTTTTAGTTTTGGAATGTTTGTCTTAATAAAATTGTTTGGATCTTGTCCATATATGAGTTATTAGAATAAGAAAATTGTTCACAACTAAGTGGCTACCTAGATTTCTTGCAACTTTGGTTTTTCTACAAACTTCACAGTTATAAATAAGCAAATTACACAAGCATCTTTATATATATTCATTTTACAAACCAATTGCCTTCCCAAACAAAGAAACTCATCATACCATATAATACCATTTTCTATACCTTATATTTATCCACTCTTTTTTTTTTGTAATTTATTAAGCTTAAACCACATATATTTTGAAGAGAAAATGGGGCTAAGGGACATAGGAGCAACACTGCCACCTGGGTTTAGGTTTTATCCAAGCGACGAGGAGTTGGTTTGCCATTATCTCTTCAAAAAGATTGCGAATGAGGAAGCCTTGAAGGGAACTTTGGTCGAAATCGATTTGCATACTTGCGAACCATGGCAGCTTCCTGGTACCTCCTCCTTCATTGTCATCTTCATCTTCCATCTCTTCTTATACTCTTTTGAGTCTTTTGTTGTGTGGGGGGGGGGTTGATTTTCTTTAGAATTAATGGTGCATTAATTAAGGTATAAAAGAAAACGAACGACCACATTAGTAGTTTCGTTGATCTTAAGAAAGCAAGCAACTGCTGTGTGTCTGAACTACAAACAGATGGGGCTTGAGGGAGTTCTTGCTATCTCTGGTTCACACAAGTCTCAGGCAAACATGATTTTGTTTCTTGAGATAAAAATTTTCAACGAAAATGATGAACTTGTGATTTTATAAAACCACGGTTTCATCTTTGATTTGGTGATATAAATCATTTTTTTTTTGCCACAACATGTATACAGACATACATTCATGTACGTAAGAATGCATGTAGTTACACAACATATTATTTACCTTTTTGAAGATAAAGAGATTATTCACCTCTAAGGTAAAATTTGGGAGTGAACATCTCGCTATAAATTTATGTTGGATAATACACGGATTGTTTTTTTATTTTATTTTTATTTGTTGTAATCCTATTCTTGAGTTGGGAGTCCTAAAATCACGGTTGGAGATAGGTTTCAGCTAGTCATAATTATCGTTTATTATTTATGTAGGAATCCACCTATGTAGTGTAAAAGAGATATTAATTTAATATGATTGGATGACATTTTTTTAAAACAATATATTTTGTGTACGCATGGGACTCGAATTAAATGCAAGAGGTGGCAAAGCTAAACGCAAGCGAGTGGTATTTCTTCAGTTTTCGAGATAGGAAGTACGCAACAGGGTTTCGAACGAATCGAGCAACGGTGTCCGGCTACTGGAAAGCGACCGGAAAGGATCGGACGGTCATCGACCCAACAACACAACAAGTAGTAGGGTTGAGAAAGACATTAGTGTTTTACCTCAACCGAGCCCCGAATGGAGTCAAAACCGGTTGGATTATGCATGAATTTCGTCTTGAAACCCCACATATGCCTCCCAAGGTGAGTTTCACTAGCTCCTCGTTTTCAGCTTTACACAAATTTAGTGTGTCTAATGAGTTAAAATAGACAGTTGAGATTAACAATAAAATATGAAAAAATATTCACTAAAAAATAAAAAAGTTAATCTTAACCATATATTTTCACTTATCCGACAATTCCAAATACGTGAAAAAACTGAAAAAGTTTTATACTGTGTAAGTAGATCCCAACCCTATATGTATTATTGTATATCACTTATAGGTACAAACATGATTTTATGATAAGAAGTGAACTTATAAAATTTTAGAGAGAAAAAACAAATTATCAATAAAAAATAAAAATATATATAAAAAAACTGAATATTCGAGGGACAAATACCTCTCATCCGCCTTCTTCAATCCATCCCTAATCATTGATGAAGTTTTGGTAATGTGACAGGAAGACTGGGTTTTATGTAGAGTTTTTCACAAGACTAGGGGAGACGATAACAACAGTCCAACGATGATGTTGGAGACATCCTCGTCTCACGGTCCTACTTCAACAGACCAAAAAAGCTTGCATTGTGGGTATCAACTTCAACAAATAAGAAGCTCTTTACACTCCCCACACACCAATCAAAGCCAAAGCCAAACCTTCCTAAGCCTGCTTCAATGTAATAACTCTCGGGAAAAGGACGACAACGATTATCGCTACGGCAATGAAGTTAGGTCCAAAGTTGACGATGAATTCGAGTTCTTGTGGGACATGGACATGGAACAAAACAATTTGGACGATATGGGGTTTGAAATTGATAACAATGTAGTTTTCCTATGAAAAATTGTTGTACACTTTTGAAGGGGAAAATAGAAGCCCGCTATTTGTTCATTTCTGATGTTGGTGTGACGTTCGTCTTTAAGGACGCAAATAGAAGATTGTGTAATTTGGTGTCGGGCTTAATTTATTTTTGTATTTAATTTTTGGCAGTGTAAAAAGTATATGTATATAAAGCATGTAGTAATTCTTTAGTGATCCTTTCAAAAAAAAATCAAAGATTAGAAAGAATTCCGAGTATTGACAAAAAAATCAAAGTTTATTTTCCTTTATGTTAACAGAAAACAGTATCCGCCGCTTAAGGTGGGCAATGCTGCTCCATTTTTCTCAAATTTGACAGATTCAGTGTAACATCTAAAAACCCCGTGCGATCGAAACATTGTGACGATTTATTTATCGAAATTCATAACATGAACTTAAAACTCATCTAACTTCCATTGTTGCAGTCCTGATCTCATTTTCTACCATCCAACAAGGAAAAATACTTGTCAAAAGCTCATTACTGATCGGGCTAGAGATTCATGAATAAAGGGTGTTGATGGTAAGAACAAACACTCAAATCAGGTCGGAAAGTATTGTTGATCGACCGAAATGCAATATGTTCACATGATTTGGGTTCATGGCTTTACGCATAACATTAGGACCAGAGCCTGCCTCGGGCTATTTTCTTTATTACAACAATAAAGGCAGATGGAGTAGGGAGCATGATGCACTCATCAGGTGACGATACACAGCAAAATAAACATTAGCACATTCTAAGTCCAAATTCCTAAAGGTTCTATGGGCAAACACCAACTTCAAGGTTTAATGCCTTTCCAACCAAAACTAATGCTAGGTTCAATTCCATATAAAAATTAGGAGATATCCTAGAACTCCTCAACAGAGTTCCTCACACAAAACATAAGCAATATAATCACAATTCAACTTTAATAGTGAAAAGACGAGAAAAACATATAATCACGTGTTCAGTTACAAAGAGATCCCAGATACACAAGAGGACAATGCACTGACAGTAACAATGTAGTAGGGCAATATGAAAAAACTAAGCCGCATACCTTTTCCTTTGCTCTTGATGTGTCGGGCTGAGACCTTGCAAAACCAGGTTACAGAACTCAGTAATAACATCATACGCTTTAGAATAGTTGGCACCTTCTTTATTCATCTATCGAAATGTGCTACATTAAGGAACCTGAGGGGAAAATGGAATTTTCGAACAGCATAATGAGTCTACAACTAAATTTAATGACACCAGACTAATGAAGCATGTTGAGTACAGAACAAAGAAAAATTGATTCCTTGAATGAATCTAAAGAAGAATCCATGGCTTCCTGCCCCATGGAAGGGTTATTCGGCAGGTTTGTCATACATTTACTAATAAACAGAAAATAAGTACTATTAAAACCAAAATGGGAATCTCACAAGTCACAACTATCACAATGCGAGAGATTTGTAGTTTTTGGCTTCATCATTAATTAGCCCGAGCTACTAAGTAGAGACACCAAATCACCCTTTTTCATTTTGGAAAACCCTTTTAGCCCATGAGATTTTGCAAGCGCTCTGAGTTCCGGTAGCTTCAATGGACTCAAATCCTCGCGTTCAATCCGCTGTTCTCCGTCCTCTTCGTCAATATCTGAAGATTCATCCTCTGACAACTCATTCAACGCATCAGAATCTTGATAGATTGACTCAGGCTCAAGCTCAAGCTCATCCTCTGGCTTGGATTCAGACTCCAGTTCCTCCTCTACCTCAGGCACATTATCGGCTGCAGGATGCGACTCCAAACTCAAATTTCTCTTCCTATCTGAATTGAAATGTGTCACAGAATTGGTGGTCTCCTCACCAGAATAAATTGTCTGATATTTCATTTGTGGAACAGGTGACTTTCGTCGGAAATTTGATGCTGGCCTGCTTGAACTAGGCACATAGGATTCTTTTGTCTCACTCCTCGCTCTATCATTTGAACCAAAGAAACTGGAGCCTTTATCTCCATCAGAAGAGCTATTCACTTCAGAATCATCTAAATTCAAGTGTCTGCTGTTGCCATGTTCGACCGAGTGCTTCCTCAATAGCTTAAGGAGAGAATCAACTGTTTCACTCTCTTTTCCCTTTCCCTGTGAGGCTTCAGTTTTCTCATCTTCTTTAACTGCAGCTCTTTCTTTAAGTTTAGCTTGGACCTTCCTAAAAAACTCCACAATCTCCTTCTCTCTTGGACCTGGGGCTGCAGCAGCTTGAAATTTTGTGGAACCGGAAAGGGAGAGTAATGTCCCATTTTTTGAAGATATCATTTCAGATTCATCTATATTTTCAAGATTCACTCTCTCCTCATTCTGCCCCTTCTTCCCTTGAAACCCATGTCTTTTCCTCGAGAAGTCAGGGTTTCTCCTCTGACCACTAGAACCTGCTCTGCATACAACAGATATTCCCCTTGAAATACATTTCAAGGATCTAATCTTCACCTGTGTGCAAATTCTGTGGTGACTATGTGAAGAGCAAGGAAAAAGAGTCACTGCTCTTCCAGAAATGCCCGAGTAGGAGCGATATCTGCAGTCTGTTGGTCCATAACCTACAATAGATCATAATCAAATGACACAAAGTTAAGAAAATAACCATTTCCGAAACAATATTATCTGTGGGCCTAATTCTTTACCCATAAAGCACTTGTCGAAAATCCGAATAACTAAAAACAACAAATAAATAACACATCAGCAATCTACCCAGTAAACTACCTTGGGCAAATCCCACAATCAACATCAATCTTCACAAAGTTGCAATCACTTTAAACAGGAACAAATCAAAATGAATCTTCAAACCAAACAAAGCATGCCTACTTAAAATAATCTTCTCCGAGACTTCCTCAAGGTTGTAATCAACCTTTTGCTCAGGAATATAACAAATTTCCTACTTAGATAATATAAAAGCAAAACTTCAACATTAGCTAAAATAATCTTTCTGATACGTAGCAACCTAAGAATGAAAACAACACTCAACCCCAAAGTCTATTTATGTTACCCGAGCTAACACCCGAATGCCGAAAACAACCCCAACAAGACATGACTATTCCTCCTCTATCATTTTAGACAGGACTTTCCTCTATTGAAAATGCAACAACAACAACAACAACAAAAGAAAACGATTAAGCTACCTTCGAGACCACAAGAATACAGATATAAACAAATTTAACAAGTCACCATGAATTAACAATAGACCACTTCACAGAATCAAGCAATAACAGCAAAACAATCTAAGGATAAGATTAATACCATGAATATTTTAACAAAAAAGAGACAAATAGAATAAGGTAAAGCGAAAAACACCCATTAATAAAAAATGGGTTTTGTGCAAAAACACACACACACATTTCAGCCCTCGACATCGAATATGGCAAACCATTTATTTTCATTTTATGTTTTTCTTGGGAACCAAACAAAAAAAAACAAAGAAATTGAAAGGAACCCACGCACCCCCAAAATAAGAATAAGAAAGGAAGAGAAATATCTACCAGGAACGTTATTGGGAAGGAGATGAAGTGCATGAGACATGAGTTAAGGCGGAGCGGTTTTGATTTCTCTTTCGCAGGGTTTCCCGTTTCCGTGTTGTTTGTTTGATAAGGGAGTCCATTGGTAATTTAATTTGCTTATGGGCAATTCTGGGTTAACGAATTAAGAGGCTATATCAATTCCGTAACGGCCCATTTTGTTAAGGTTTTGTTGGTTTTTCTTTCCACTAGGTCATGAGTGTAAAAAAAATTATTTAATTTTCTCTAAAATTATTTGGAGATCAACTATAAATATTACGGTACAGGATAAATTTGTCTCGCCCATATGATGATTTTATCCAAATAATATGTTTTTATTTAATATTCTTACATCTGAGGGACAAGTTCTTATAAAATATCATTTTTATTAGATTTTGTGACGTCTGAGTCACAAATTTCAATAAAAAATATTTTATTGGATCTTCTCATGCTCACCTGAGTTTCAAGTAACTTTAGCAAATATCGTTTTTTTAAAAATAAAAGATATGGTAGTTGATCTTGTGAGAAAAAAAGCCTCGACTGGGATCCTAATCAGTTTTTAACAATTACCCAGAAAAAAACCCCATTTTTGGGTATGGGACTTGGTTAGTTATTTTGTAACTGCAGATTCTGGAGCAGCAGGAGAGAGGCGTGGCCAAGGATGGTTCCAGAGACATCGACGGTAATGAAGGTGCTCGGGTCGAGAGCGGCGGAACGGTATGGAACGGAGTTGACATTGTTGGAAGCAGTAGATATGAAAGAAGAAGAGTCGGAGGCGTTCCATGAGTTGGTGAAGGAGGTGAGTGCCGCGTTCAGGGTTTTAAAAAACGGTCAGTGATTATGATTTCGGCCGCGACTTCTGAGTTACCCGCGATGTCCGTAATAATGCCCGTGACGGCCGTAATTGCGCCCGCGACGGCATAATCACGGTAAATCCGAAATAACTAAAAACTCGACCGCGATTTAAAATCCTGACGTCGTTGCTCAACTCGTACGGCAGGAAAGGGTTCCCATACTCGGCTTGGGAAGTGAAGACTCTGATGATTCAAAACTGAGTGTCGGAAGACGCCGCTGCTCACTTAACTCGGCGCTTTTCCACCGCCAATGATGCTTGTCTTTAGTACCTGTATATTTGGGCCTATTCCATCAGGCAAATGGGGATATCTGGTTTTGCCTTCGCTGTACAAAATTTAGACTTTGGACGGTTGGTTTACTTCGTAATGATTAAGGTTAAATAATTCAAATGTTGAATGATTTAAAGGTTATGTATGAATTAGCTTTGAATGTAACATTTTGTTTGATAATGATTCTGAATAATTCAGAATATATTTCTGTGCTTAATCATTCAACACTGTTTTACTAAATCAATCAGCATTGAATTATTTAGAGGTGTGAAACAAACGCGCTAAATGTTGAACGGTTCATCATTTAACGCTGAATGATTCGATTAAGAGACAAACAAATAACTCATTATCTCTGTTATTTACTTAAGACTTCAATTATTTAATATTATATAAATTATTTTTCATCTCAATTTACAACCACAATATATAATAACATATACAATTGTGTGAGAGCATAATTAAAAATCAATCAAATATAATACGAATTTACTTATTTTAATAGTTAAAGAGGATGATTAATTATTATTAAATGATTGAAAATATTTAAAAACATGTATCACTATATAATCACCTCAACTTAATAAATAAAATCAATCAAATATAAATAAAAATTGAACATATTAAATTATCATGAAAATAATTTTTAATAGTAGATGAATCATGAATCTTATATATATTGAATAATATTAAAAATGATTTTTTATGATGATATTGATTGATTGAAAATGTTTAACTTAAATAGTAGTAATATATTTATTTATATTGTTAAAATATTTATTTTAATTAATATATAAATTATAATATTAATTAAGTTATAGTTAATTTTAAAAAAATAAGTTTGAACATTTTCTATTTCAATATTTTATAATTTATTTAATTAATTTTGTTGTTAATATTATTATATTATTATAATAATATATAAAAGTATTAAACTTAATGAATTTATCTAATTAAATTATTTTTAAAAAATAATATTATTGTACAATAATTAATAATCTTTATTTAAGAGGGTCCTCTCAAGTAATCTCGCACCAAACTGAAAACCCTAGTCTTTTAACTCCCAAAAAGAGGGGGGTGGGGGGAAACACTAAACGTTTTCTGAAGGAAAGTTGGTTGATGATGGCTAGTAGGAAGCTGGTTCGAGATTTTTTCTTTGCAAGACATCCCATTACTCAACGTCTTTCGTCTCAACAGGTACAAAGCTGCTAGCTTGTTTCTCGAATATTTTAAAGTTCTGTTTTTTTTTATTTCCAAACTTTTTTTTAAAATTTTTTTTTGCTTGTGGAATTTTGATGAATTAGGGTTCGAATGTAAGACTAAGGCTGTTATCTGGAAATGGGCACTCGAGCATTCGACAGTTCAGTGTCTTCAAAGAGTTCTCCAAGAAAATTAAAGGCGAAGCTAGCAGGTATTTTGAAGCTACTAATACTTTTCAATTTGAAAAAGGTAAAAACAAAACAAGTCTCTTTATCTTTCTTTTGATGGGGGTTATCATTTTGAAAAATATTGTAGAAATTCGGAATTTCAGCAATCAGTTGAGCAGCTAAGGGGAAAAGCAGAAGAGCTGAAAGTTAGGTAATGTCTCTTGTATTACGGTGATCGTTTTTATTTTCTGTTGTAATATTAGCGTTGTTAGGGTTAATAGGCTGAGACATACCCTTGTATGTCAAGGGATTGCCTGAGATGGTGAAATGGCGAATGCAGAACGAAGCAGACAACCGAGCAGCTTTACAAACAAGTTGATGGTGCATGGACAGACGCCGAAGCTACTGCTAAAAAGGTTAGGGTTCAATTTTATCTTCTCTTGTAGTTCTTTAAGGGATTCACATGCATTTTGTATTTGCCACAAACTAATTATGCTCACACTTTTTCTTTTCCAAGTTGCTTTTCCTTGTAATGCATATTTATGCGAATTACTTAATAGCCATAAAATTATATGTCGCTTTCTTTGCGTAATTTGTATTTGATTCATTTTGTGGAACAAATATGTAATCGAGCTTAATCAACTAGTTATACTTTAGAACTTGACCATAACTATGTTAGCCTGTTTCGTATAAAAAGCTAATGATGATTGCTGATAAAGCGAGCTCCCTTGGATTTTATATTGGTGATCTAGATTCTATTTTGTTCATTGGGTGGACTTCTTGTTGCTACTTGAAATTAGTGTCGTATTGTATTTAAAATCTTGGGTGTGAGTATGAGATGTGGACAAGTTCGTCTGTTTTGAGTATGAAGCTTTCGATGGTGCTGCTCTCTATATGATACTTAATTCATATTTGATTGGTATTATGTCTTTAGTAGGTGTCTGCCAACATGAAAGAGAAGATTTCAGCTGCCAAAGAGGAGGTATTTTTTTAATTCAGATAGTTGACCTACAAATTATGTCTATGAATGCTTTTATCCTATTAAGTTATTTGGTTATGTTGTTTTAGGTTAAGGAAAGTTTTAGAATTGGAAAGGAAGAATCTTCACAGTCAACCGATACATCAGCTCAGCATGGTGCTGATATGAAGGATGAAGGTAAGACGTCATCCAAGGAAGGGAGTTACCAGCATTCTGGATCTGGTGATACTGCAAAAACGGTATTTGGAAAATTTAAGTCTCGCATTTCTTCTCCGAAGGTTTCTTTGGCTTTCCAAAGTTTAAAGGAAGCTAAGGTTGTTGATTTAGCGAAAAAGGGTTATGAAATTGTTAAGGATGAGCTAAGTGGTAACCCAAGTAATAGAAAGCATCTGGAGTATACAGCTCCTCCCTCATCAACAGGTGAAAGAAGTACAAGAACTGATGTTGTTGTTTTGCCGTCTAAGCAGTCCCGTTGGAGTAAAAAGTGGGAGGCATTAAAAGAGAAGGTAAGGTTATTGTTGGTGTTGAGTTTTACTAAAATATCACTATAAAGTTTAACCTGTTGCTTGTGTTTCCCTACTTATTGAACTGATTTTGTTCTCTTCTGCATAGATGCAAGGTCATCCATTATTCAAGCGTGTTAGTGGGATGAGTGAACCTGTTGTGACAAAGGGCCAAGAGGCAAGTTTGCAGCCTATTCTTTTTGCTACCCCATTTTCATGGTTCTTTTACTTGCTTATTATGGCTATTGCCTTTCCCGGAGTGTCTAAATTTCTGAAATACGCATACTTTTGAATGAACTGGTTCAAATTATTACATGGTTGAATTGGCAGATTGCAGAGGATATGCGAGAAATATGGGAGACCAGTGATAACCCCATTGTTCACAAAATTCAGGAGTATGTAACATTTTCTTGTGTTTGTATCCTTTTTACCTGCTACACATAAGATTTAGAAATTATTTATGCGACTTGTTGGATGCTGATTTCATAATTTTCTACTTGACAGTATAAACGAGAGTATATTTCAAGAAACAGATGCCGCGGCATCATACAAAGAAATACGTCGACGAGACCCGTATGGTCACCTCTCCTTTATTTTTGCTTCAGTACTTGTGTTTTCCATTTCTTGATCTGTGGAATTTTTGGGTTCATGGAGTAGGTCATTCTCTTTGCCAGAGTTTGTGGCAGAAGTTCAAGAAGCCATTAGACCAGTCCTCAATGCATATATAAAAGTAAGGAGTGTCGCTGGCTTATATTCTAGCTTTCTATATTTTCAAATAAAAATAATGTCCCAGGTAGTGGCCATCTCTTTAATATAAAATAACTCTGGACGCAGGGAGATATTGAAACTTTGAAGAAGTATTGTAGTCCTGAAGTTATTGATAGATGCAAAGCAGAACACACTGCTTATCAAGGTAAGACTGACAATTTTATGGAATGCTCTATGCTCTGTTATACGACATTTAGTAAGATGGTCATGTTTAAGTACGGCTGTATCAAGTTTTCTGCTGTTTATTGTAATAGAATCAGTAAGAAAATATGAGTCTTGTATAAAGAAATGTGGTTACAAATTATCGTGGCCTTAATATAAGTCGGCTTGCAGATTGTGGTTGGGATTATATTCTTAATATGAAGTGATGTTACTAATTTCACCTGCTGCTGCTGCTGCTGCAGATTCTACATATATCTGACGTAGAAGTTAGAGAGACCAAAATGATGGGGACTTCCCCCATTATCATAGTAGCAGTACGAGTCTCTTATTTGTCTGCTTCAATATCTTTCTTACTTGATTTAAGCCTTTTAATGGTTTTGAAACTGATGCCGGGGCCTGTCCATTCGATGTTCACAGTTTCAAACACAACAGATTCACTGCATACGAGATAGAGAGGGTAAAATAACGGAAGGCGGGAAGGTAAATGAAAAATTATTTTGCTGTTTTTCATAAAAATTATTTATCCTAATATTCTAAAATTGTGTTTCTCACTAGGATACAATTCACACCGTGTATTATGCATGGGCTATGCAACAAGTGGATGTAGAAGAACTTGGAGAGGGTGCCCTCTACCCGATATGGAAGCTTAGAGAAATGCAAAATATTGGTATACAAGCCCTCATCTAGCTCCTTTTACGCTCAATATCTCAGACTCATACTAATGGATATATTTTTTCTCGAGCCTCTCTGGGTTTTGTTAATTTCTTTTCCAGGGAGAATTTTAGCTGATCAAATAATTTTTTAATTGTTTTTAGCCAATAATCGAAATTTCACCTAACATGTTTACTTGAAATTCTTGATTATGAGGGATATTAATTAATCCATGAACTTTACCTGATGCATGTTTGAATTTTACCAGCAAATTTTGTGAACATGTATATGTGATTGAACATAGTTATAAGATGACAATGTCGTAAAAAAACGTAATATCGACATTAAAGTGTGAATGTCATCTGTAATACTATTAAATAAACGGGGAAACTTGTTGCCTAAATCTAGCTGAGAAACAGGCTTTCAACTGTACAAGCTGCCATTCGACAATGTAACATTATGTACCCCCTGATTCAGTTTGAGCACCATGAAAAAGTAAAGTTCAAAACCATTTAAATAACATCGTACTCTAAGGATTGTTTTTCATCAGATCGAAGTTGGTTTCAAAATGTGACATCGGGATCATCATCATAGTCAAAATCTGGCTCACTCGAGTGTCGCAGTCTCTTCGCTTCTCTAGCTCTGCCCTTTTTTGGCTTTCCTCTGTGGAGAACACAGAAATAACTTTAGATTGCTGTGGGGTTTAGAATGTCCATCTTAAAAGCATTTGCAAGTGCATCCGATCGTTGGTTATTGTTTTCAAGCAATTTCAAACCAAGGTGAATTTTACAAAATTAATCTACTTACTGCCCATTGGCAAAGTAACCTCCACCCTTTGACCGACCTGCACCGTAATACGATTTCCCATCTGCCAAACACAAAGGAACAACAAACGATGAAACATCCAGAAAGGAAATTTGTTTGATGCACCTGCATACAATAGGCTCACCATCTCTACCAGCAGCAACCTCTTCGGCCTGAAAAAGCAAGCAATAGCAGAGGAAAATCAGTTTCAGAAACTTGCTAATGAGTGGTTCGGAGAGGGAAAAAATGTTCCAGACACCATTTTTTTATCCATCAATTACGTCCAAGGAAAATTAGCTGCAGTAAACACCAAAAAAGATGAGAATTTTATCTTTCATGAAATTTATGGAGTTATTCCCCACATTTAGATTGGCATGGTAATTATAGTATCCGTATTTCGAAGTGATGACATGTTTGGAAGTGCAACATGAGCTGTATTTTGATGACAGCCTTAAATTGTCCATTTATAGATCCATTTTAAAAACATTTAGCAGGAAACTCTGTAGAATGAGCGGCAAACATTAAACTTTGATGCGTTTGATTGAAGAGTTGGAGAAAAGCATTTGCTTATGAGGTCATACAATTATGGTGCTCTATTGCGGCAATACCAACAAGATTCTAGCATAAACTTGCATTCAGTTAATGAGCTTCTCAGCAGATACCAGAACGGTTTTCATGCAGTCTGTCTCTGTGTATGCAATTGGATGCAAAATGATTCAAATCCCTTCTGAAATGCAGATAAAAAAAATAGAAAAAGAAGAGAACCAACAGCCAACACCGAAGCACAGACAAATTAAGAAAACAGTGATAGACACGACACAAAAGCCATCTCATCCATATTCTAAATTTTTATCTGATTACCGATCACATACTTTCAAAGTTCAAATGCAACTCCACAACAGAATGATGGTTCAAATGTTGCCTAGCATTAAACCTTTTAGAAGCAAGTGTTAGCTCTGTGCCAGCATTTGCTAAAACCAATTTCAAATTTCACATCATTTGACACAACTAGTAGTAGATATGCAAGCAAACAAGAAAAGAAGAGGGAAACTTATTTAATACACACCGCAGGTGAAGTGACAGAAGACAACGAGAATAGCCTATCTTCAGGCTGGAACTTCCTGGACCGCTTCAATCTGTGAGACAAGTTGAATAGGTGGCTCACATCCAATATACAAATCATAGGATAAATTTTCACCGAACTGAATTGCTCTTAAGAAATTTCAGTGTACAAACGGACTGGAACCTTAAAAAGTTTTAGCTAAAATGCAGTGTCCTTAAGCACACATCTGAAAATTTTGCACTTACACATCATGTTTGTTTCCCGAATAAATCCCGAATCTATATAATTGAACAAACCAGACTATTTTGGAATTATATGAGAACTCAACAGTTCAATAAACATAAGAATTATTACCAAACACAATACTACACGTTTGAATACAATTAGTACGATACATTTAACACGCGAATTGTATTTTTAAGTTATGTTTATGCATACAATTCGGTTGGCATGGAGCCAAATCACAAAAAATTGAAAAGGATTACACCAATTATCAGTTCTACTAACGATAAATTACTTCCACACACGCAAAACAGAGAATAAAAAACAAAGAGAGAAATAAGCAATCCATACAGCGCAGTATTCTTGGATGAAGAGAGGAATCCCTCAAAACCTTTCAAAACGTGGCCGCATTGGCTGGGATCCTGTAAATAACTCGTTTCCATATCATACACCTGCGTATAGAGAAATAGGAATATAAATCATAAATCTTATTCGAATGAAATCGGGAGGAGGAAAAGGAAGGAATTACTTGTCTTTCAATGTTTCGAAGCTCTTCTTGGAGTTTGGCTCTTCTATTAAGCAGAGAAGCCAACATCGTCGACGGTGCCGTTGCCGACCCTCTTTGACCTAAAAAAATATGGTTTCACTTATTTTCTAATCTAAAAACAATAAAAATTCAAAAGTGGAATGCAAAGAAAATGGTGATCGTAACGGCTACCATCGTAATCCATATTTTCGCGCGAAATCCGTTGAGATTGTTTAGAACCCTAAACCTAAGATTGGGATTCCCCAGATCTTTGATTGCGAAACCTTTTGGGACTCGAATCGGATCCTTTCGTTTTCTTGATACAATAAAGGATTGAAACAGGAAGTCCCGGTTTCAAGAGTATAGCGCCATTTAAAGGTGGCAGAAATTTCTGAAATTGTCAGTGCGATCAAGATTTTCCAGCCAACAGAATTGCGCCATTTATACGCGGGTATGATTGGGAATATATTTGGACATTAGATCGGGTTTTGACCAATGGGCACGCAGCGACCCGAAGAAATTGATTGAGAGTGTTTGGTCTTTTGGATATTTAAAAATTGAGAAAATAACTTCAGTGACCAAAAATCCCTTATAATATACGATTTTAATTAATTTTTTTCGGATTTGTCAAAATGATCAATAAAATCGTAATGCGATCGCTAATTCGCAACGCGATCTCCATTATCGCAAATCAGTTTCCAGATTCGCAACGCGATTATTACTATCGCAATGCGATTTTCCAATTTCGCGTTGCGATTTTCCCAATTCGTAATGCGAATAAGTAAATCGCAATGTGAATTTGGAAAATCGCAATGCGATACTGACTATCGCAACGCAATTTTCCTAATTCGCATTGCGATTTACGTATTCGCGTTGCGATTTTCATAATTCGCAATGCGAATACGTAAATCGCAACGCGATTAAGTAAATCGCAATGCGAATTAGGAAAATCGCAATGCGAATATGTAAATCGCAATGCGAATCTGACTATCGCAATGCGATTTACATAGCGTCATTCGTATTAACGCGTATTTTTTTTTCAAATTCCAAACACGAATTTTTTCTTAATATATCGAAAACTGAACCGTCCACAGTAATCGCAACTCATAACCTCAAACCTAAAATCACAACACTCAGCCCCATCTCCATCTCTCACTCTCTACGGCGAAATCCGTCCCCATCTCCGAAGATTTCCGTCCCCATCGCCGGCGAAATCCCTCACAACCATTCACGGTCAGAAATCCCTCACAATCATTCAGAAATGGAAAATCAACCTCCGAGGGTTAATTTTTTTAATTATTTTTATTTTGAAATTTTTGCATTATTTTAGGTTTTTCATATTGAAATTGATGATAAGTTTACTGGTAATTTCAATAATAGATTAACCATTTCACTTATATTTCTTATTAAATTCATTCGATTGCTGTCAATACTGCTAAACTGTTTAATATTTAACCATGTGAAGTTAGTATTTGTTTTTGTTTTGTCTTTTGGTTGAAGTAATGCAGAAGAAGAATAGTTTCGAGAATGAAAATCGCAACGCGAAATGAAAATCGCAACGAGATAATCGCAACGCGAAATGAAAATTGCAATGAGATAATCGCAATGCGAAACCAAAATCGCATTGTGATTTTCATTTCGCGTTGCGATTCTCTCATTGCGATTTTCATTTTGCGTTGCGATAGTCATTTCCGCGTTGCGATTTTCATTCTCTCGTTGTAATTTTCATTTCAACCAAAAGACAAAACAGTGTTGCAAATTTTAGTTTCAAGAATAAACTACTATTTATGTTTATTGTTTTTGGTATATCTTCACAGTGTAGTTTTTGGTATATCTAACTTGGTATGTTTATTGTTTTTGTAGAAATTTTTTTCGGCTTCATTGACATTAAGGAATAAAGTTAGCCTAGCCACTACAATCGCTTCGAAGCTTTCACCTGCACAAAGAAAATTGTTTGAGGAAACCTGCTTCGGGCCATGGCTGAGAGTACAGCATCCGGGTGGAGATGCTAATTTGACCCATTTGTGGCTTCAGACCATGACTAGCGATCTATCCGACAGTATACAACGTGGTGAGGAAGAGATATGGTTTCATTTTCCACCGGCGTATACTTGTTTTGGGCGGAAGGAGTTCTGCTTAATCACTGGTCTACGATTCTGACACGATGATGTAGGCCGGTACACTCGTCATATCACCCGCCCATCATGGTTATCCAGGGTTTTTCCTGATGAGTCAATAGAGAAGCCGAACTTACACGTCGACGACATGAAGAAATTGTTTAATAAGAAAGATGGTTTTACTCGGATGAATGACGTCGATGTTGTCCGAGTATGCCTTCTACTACTTTTGTATGCCGGCTTTTTAGGCAGAGAGGCCAGACAACCTATTCCTCAGGAGCTAATATTATTGGTAGAGGACCTAAATGCATGGAATCTGTTTTTGTGGGGTTCGTATATATGAAAAGCTACATGGACTAAGTTGTCGTCTGCCTTTGATGACCGCAAAAGTTTGCGGGGCGATGGGTCGAAATACACTTTGTCAGGCTTTGTTTGGGCCTTTAAGGTAAGAATTTCTATATAATGTTTTCAAAATTATAATTAATTATTTAACAATTACTAATGTTTGTTATTATATTGTTTGTAGATTTGGATATTCGAGGCTTTCCCTAGCATGCAGACATATGCATTAAAAACCTCAAATGATATTCCTAGGGCTATTTCCTGGAAGAGGAAACGTCTGTTGGATTGGGAAGACATAATACCATATGCGACAATAAATAATGTAAGTTAACACAAATACTATCATATATAAACAAGTTATTAATAGTAGACGTTTAACTTTGTTTGAGTTTTTATATTTTTAGGAGGCCAACACTCCATTAATGAGACTGACACCCACGGAGGCTGAGCTTGCCACTGATTGGTGGAAAGCTAGTCAGCGTTTTCTTGATGGCACGAATGATGAGCAGCCTCCACTTCCTCCACTTCGAGAGCCATCACCTCACCCAGAGCCATCACCTGATCGACCCGACTATACACCTCTACAACGAGAGCCATCACCTATCCCGTCACATCATCGAGCCTCTTCTCCACCATCACCTCATGATAGGCGACCGGCAAAGATGCCACGACTTCTATCTCTCTGTTCTCCACCTCTACCTCCACGGGACGAGTCAAGGGAGTTACGTGATGAGGTCAATGCCTTGCGTTAGGAGATCAGTACTCTACGCGATAACGATGGTGCATGGCGTGTGGAGGTGTCTACTTTACGTGGTGAGGTTGCCGCTCTACGTGAGATGGTAGTATCGTTGCAGAATGAGGTTCATACTCTACGCAACGAGGTAAGTTTAAGATTCTCCATATTTAACTTGATGATAAATTTACTCGTAATTTCACTTAGATTAACCATTTCACTTAGATTGCTTAGTAAATTTATTCGGTTGCTGCCAATACTGCTAAACTGTTTATTAACACTGTGAAGTTAGTATTTGTCTTTTGGTTGAAGTAAATTTATTCGGTTGCTGCCAATTCTGCTAAACTGTGTATTCTTTAACACTGTGAAGTTAGTATTTGTCTTTGTTTTGTCTTTTGGTTGAAAGTAAATTTGTTCGGTTGCTGCCAATTCTGCTAAACTGTGTAATCTTTAAAAATGTGAAGTTAGTATTTGTCTTTGTTTTGTCTTTTGGTTGAAAGTAAATTTGTTTGTTTGCTGCCAATTGAAATTATTCTTCTTCTGCAAATTAAAACTTGAATGAATTGCATTACTTAAACCAATAGACAAAGAAAAATACTAAGTTGACAGTGTTGCAAGTTTGAAACATATTTGCCTTTGTTATCTGATGCATTTTGTGAACTATGATAGAATAATGACTTGGGTGAATTTAATGCAAGTTTGAAACATATTTGTCTTTGTTTTCACTATTTAAATATCATGTCTGTTTATTTACTAGTATTTGTATTTAATTATTTAGCGGACCGATAAGGTGGATGCTTTACGTCGGGTTTTTCTTGCACGACAGAGTTCACGCATCAGACGGCGTGCACGTGCTATTAAGTCTCTGTACACCCCAATAGTGCGAAGACACCGCAAGAAGAAGCCCGACTCGCCTGTCATCCCTCAAGAGTCCACTCCTATCGTTGAAGAGGCCCCTATCATTATTCGAGAGTCCCCTCCCACCGTTCAAGAGGCCACTGTCATCGTTGAAGAGGTCCCTCCCACCATTCAAGAGCCCGATTCACATGGCGTCATATGTAAGATTCTTGAGAAACCCTCTGACGTGCCGGACATGATGGATTCAAGTTGGCTCTCGTATGCGTTACCGGCCAGTACCATACCGGTATCTGAAGTGGAGATGAGACAACTACCGGACACAATTCTGGATAACACCCTTTGGGCTAAGACCGCAGTTGATTTTTATCTACATGCGCGGAGCCAGGGGTGTTTCACTGACATATGCAAGCTCAACGATGATATCTATTTGTTGCTTGATCGGTCTTGGTGGGGCGTATTATTAGGGGTCGAAGACAATGGCTATTTTGATGGAGGGGTAAGTCTTATATTTTTCTTATATTTTAATTTGATTATTTTTTTTAAAATTTATGTAAGTTACTAATATATGTCTTTTTTTGTAAAACAGCATATCGATGCGTGGGTGTCACGTCTTCTAATAATTAGGAAACTTAAGGAAAATAAAAGAAATACATGATATACAATTATGCCGACGTCTTTTAACGTCGTTCACTTGAAGAATCAACGAGATGAATCATTTGCGTTGGGCAATGGACAAGCTAAACTTTATCCTGCATGGTGGGAGGTCGATAAGGTTAGTATTTATTTTAGATTGAGTTTAAAGGTATTCATAAATAAGTGCGCAAATGAATGAATTATTACTTATGATTGCGGGTGTTTATCCCTGTTTTGGAACGTAAACATTGACTTCTCGTCGAGCTTCAGCTCCCATCCCTTAAGGCAATGGTATATGATAGCATGATAAATTACATATCATTGGCTGATTTAAGAGATATTATTAAGGGATGGAGCTCTCATTTGGCTAAATTCTTAGATGCGATAAATTATTGGACTCGTTTTGGAAACAAGAAGCCAAAGAAGCTCAATATTACAGTTAGTAGAGACGAGACCGCACCATAACAAACGAAAGGACCCAGAGGGGATTGTGGTCCTCTCGTATGCTTGGCGTTGGAGCATTTGATCACAGGAAGTATAAAGTATCAACCTCCCACCGATAGAGATAGAGCTGCAGTAGGCTTGTGGTTTCGGCATTACATGGCTAGATCGATATATACGAGACGCTGCCTACCTGCATCTGCGTTATAAAAATATCCATAAACAATTGGTAAGTTTATAGGCTTGTGGTTTGAAAATGTTTGGTTAAGTA